GCTTTTAAAAAATTTCCTTGGAATACTTCTTTGTTCACCATAGAGTAACTTCGACGATTTTCCTCGTCCTCCCAGTCATCTTTCAGTTAGACGTACTGCAACACGTGATTTAACACTGATTATTCGCCTTTATCCTCTGGGTGCCATATAGTTATTCCAGACCTCCCGATTACGCGTTCAAAATAGTTTCGATGAGTTTGAAGGGGATATTCTTTCAGTAGTTGCTGCCCGTGGTCACAATGTGTCCCTTTTTGAACGTGCATATAAATGATTCGGTCGTTATTCCCACCTAACTATGTTCAGGTTGTTCAACGTTCATATCAAATTACATTTTGCCTCATTTTTTTACGGAAATAATGCAATCCCAAAGTTTAATCAAGGCACTTATAAAAAAATTTAAGTAACAAAAGTCGCCTAATCAAAAACACCTTGGAGTTGTCCAGGAATCTACCTGTCCTATTCGTTTGGCCTGTTTATTCCGGTACCGACAATACTTATCATTTTTCTGGTTCTGATACTAGGATTGGTTCTGGGTCCATGCCTCTAAAATGCCATCATGCACTTCCGGGAATGGTATCTGGATACGCTTTTCGAGTGTGCCGATTAGCCTGTGCACAACTGTCATTTTTGACAGGGTATAGCACACTAACAAAGCCATCCCGGATAATAAGAAGTAAACCTGTAAGGTTCTCATTAAAATTTCGTAGTTATCTCTGTTGAATGATTATGTTTTAAGGACTTTCGTGACTTTCCGCTTAATACATTGAAATTTCTTTATGGGACTAATCTTCACAATGAAGAATGGGTCTATTGCACCGCTTGAAATTACTCATGTTGAACTGGTGTATGACCTGGTTAGTCTCTCAGTGTTTAATCCATTTTACACGGCGTCGGTGAACATAAACGTTGGCATATGTCGGAACAGTGATAAATGTTCATTCCGACAACAACTTGTTACAGTTTTTGAATTAGAATTGAATGAGCAGATTCTTTTAAAGTCATTGCCAATCTTTGCCTTATGACTTTACCAGGAGGTTGTTGGCGATGCCGAACTGCGTACTATCTTGGCCCGCGGAGACCCTCCTTTCGAGGTTTATTGGGGTACAGCCACAACTGGCAAACCGCACGTTGCCTACTTTGTGCCCGTCATCAAGATCGCGGATATGCTTCACGCGGGTGCTAAGGTGACCATCCTCTTTGCTGACTTGCATGCCTACCTGGATAACATGAAAGCGCCATGGAGTCTGCTTTGCCTACGCGCCAGTTATTACGAAACCATCGTCAAAGGAATGCTCGAGGCAGTCGGTGTGCCACTGGACAAGTTGCACTTCATTCGCGGCTCGGAGTACGAACTAACAAAGTAAGTTCTGCTTAACGCATTCATGCACCACTGTTACGCGAACTGCCTCTCAACGTGCAGTAGATAAACTAAGTCACCAAACATTTGCGTCAATTCATCAAAGACCGAAAATACCTTGATAACTGCCCAAGTTGCCTTGTCAAAAATAGCCCCAGTAAAAGCGTAAGACCTTACCTTATACGAATTCACAAAAAACGTGTTGACAGTTGATTAAATGTAACGATTATTTCAATAAAAGTCGAAACTTGTGGCGGGCCATAATACATGTTCATAGTAATAACCGAATACGTAAAGCGGCATACGCACAAAACGTTTAAAAGGCCGTTCTTAATTTAATTTCATTAAATGTTTGCCCGACATATTTGCAATGGTGCCTTTGAAGCGGGCTGTGGCAATCCGCTCTGAGA